AGTTAAAGACACAATTAAACAATTAAAAATCACAGATGAAGAAAAAGCCCAATTAATTAAAGTATTAGAATTAAGAAACTTTGAGTCTAGTGAAATTGAGACCCCAGTAACAAGCTCAGCAGACTATAGTTCCTCAGATTCCCAATGAAGTTCCCCAAAAATCCAATTTGGTTGTGAAAATAATTGTTGTAATGTCTTAACTAAGTCAATAAACGTCCTTACAAAACAAGAAGAGCAAGAAGAATTATTAATTGATTTAATTAGTAAAGTAGAAAATCCAAAATTAAAATAAGAATATTTAAAGAAATTAAGAAAAGTCATTAGTCAAGAATAAACGAGTCAACACATCCCCCCGAAAATAAGTCTAAATACTACCTTAGAAAAATTCAACAAAAGAAAAAAAGTCGCTTTACAAGACTTACAACTTGAAGTAAAAATCATCAGAAAGGAAATCACTGAGTTAAAACAGTCTAACCGACAATTACAAAGTGATAATGTTGAAATCAAACAAGACCTGGTTAATATACTAGAAAAAATAGAACCTAACAACAATGGTAAAAGACGGTTTGAAGACCAATCTGAAGATGAACTTGAACATTCAAGTATCGACAAAGCTATTAATTTAATCAAACAATTAAGTTTCCGTAAATGGTATTCAAAAGTCAATATTTATATCAACAATTTTGAACTAAAAACAATAGCTCTGTTTGACTCAGGAGCCGATCTTAATTGCATTCAAGAGGGGTTTAATTCCCACTAAATATTACAGGGAGTCAAAAGAATCTTTAGGGACAGCCTCTGTAAACCACTGCACCTTAAATATGAAATTCCTAAAGCCTATTTATGCCAAAATAAAATATGCTTTAAGACATCCTTTGTCCTAGTCAAAGACAGACAAAGCGCTTAGAAGAATCAGAAAACTCTATGCATTCTTCACCCCACTTTTGAAGAGCCACCAAGCACAACAAATAGGTGCCAGTTCCTCCACCCTAGAAACTCCAATCACTCAACAAGCCTTGTGCTACCCGTTTGATCAAGATCAAGTCTCTACGACCCTTGTATCAATCACAAATTTTCTCTAACACTTTGGAGATCGAATCAAAGGATTTCATACAGAGATTGCAACCCTAAATTTCATTTATATAAATAGTACTTTGAACACGTGTTCTAGTCTCATTTGTCGTAGGATTTTCTATTTACACCCTAATATCGCAATATACCTTAACTCATTGAGTTAGAAGAAGAAGACTAAAGGTGCTTCCTAAAAAATAAAAATCAAAACTGCACTTGACGGAGATAACATAATGTCTATAAATTGTAAATTTCGGGAAAAATAGTGACCAATTTGGCTAAAAAAATTTCTCAATGACCAAATAGAATTTTCGTATAAAACCTAGTGACCAAAAGAGTATTTAACCCTTTTTTTTAATGCTTAAATATATCGCAAGAACACTATAAGAACTAAGAAGTTATTAGTTTTTTTTTTTAGAAGAATATTTCATTTATAAGCCAAAATGAATACAAAGACTGGCATGAATATAGTAGCCTCATTAAAACATTCCTAGGAAAATCACTTGGGACAAACTCCAGGGCAGGAAAGAGTACCATACATGCCAAGAACTAACAAGAGAGTCCAACCTAGACCACAAAAGACCGTTACAAGAACATAAAAAAATAAAAAAACCAACTAAACACCAACACAATAGACCCATAAGAGAATCGCATTGCATCCCAACTATAAAAAGAAGCATTCTATAAGAAACACTCGTAGTCCTTTGACAGCCCACGAACTACAAAAACACACTAAGGATAGAAACCTAGGAGACCATACCGAGGAAGAGCACAAAAATAATAACAAGAATGGCCCTTGAAAAGCACCCTAACTCAATTTAGAACTTGATAAAGAAAACTCTTATGAACAAACATAGGTCTTCAGGTGGGGTATAGCAGAGACGAGCTACAAATGAGCAATATAACTATAGAAAAGGACAACAAAACAGACGCTAAAACCGAAGACAAAACCCTCAGGGCACACCACTACATCCCAACAACTATCACTAGTGTCGCTACTACTATCGCCGTCAAAACAGAGACAAAACATCAGCCACCAAGTATCACAACTTTCCCAAAGAGAGACCCAATCCAGCATCACTATTGTCACCGACACCGAGATGGAGACAACACCAACCACCTAGAACACTGCAAAAACAACCAAACAAACACACAAACACAACTAGATCCAAATAGATCGAGGCTAAAAACCCAAGATCTAAGAGATTTGGGGAGGAGAATAGGATGGGGAGAGAGGGGCCAGCAAAAGCCCCCAAGAAAGTGGAAAGAGAGGGTAGAGAGGATGAGAAGGAAATAGATTGGAGAAGAGGATAGGATGGGAGAAGATGGGCGGAGGGGAGGAAAGGCAGTGGCCACCTCCCATAGCTTAGGAAAGTTGGTTGTTGGCAAATTGTTTCTGTCGCAACCCTAGCAGAGACTTATACAAGAGTAGGTATTAGTTCTTAAATATATAAAAACAGTATAAGAACTAATTTTTTAAATTAGTTATGCTTAAATATATGGCAAGAACTTTATAAGAACGAATAGCATCTCCAAGGGAGATGTTAAATGCAATGTGGCACTTTTAGCATGTTAAAAAAAATAGTTGAGACTCACTCCAACCTAAAATGTTAAATGCGTGGAATAACATTTCTCTCTACTCATGTTATTTTTTGTTGTTTGACTTTGTGATTATTTTAGTATTTTATTATTATTTCTCAATTATTGTGCCTATAAAGTAAAAAACCAATAACACTATATAATAAAATAATATTTTAATTTGATATGTCGGGTGGAATGTAAGTTCAATTATATGTCAAATTGCCACATAAGTCATCAAATTCAAATTTAATATTTGATATTTGACATCTCCCTTTTAGAGCATCTCCAAGGATATGTTAGAAAGGCTAGTATATATTTATGTACAAGGTTTTTTTTTCTTCATTTATTTGTGGATTGTCTACGTGTGTGAGATCCTAATCATTTTGAATTTTCCCAACTTGATTAATTCATAAAGTTTTTTTTTTCTTCTTCTTTTTGATTTATTTATAGAGTTAAAAAGGAAAAATAAAAGAAATTAAAGTGAAAAAGAAAAAGAAGAAAACAAGAAAAGAAGAAAATTAATAATAAAATGAAGAAAGTATGTTGTGGCCTTATAAGGGCAAACCCAATCATGGTCCCTAAATGGGGCTTTAAAAATGGTGGATAGAGACTCATTTAGAGCTCCAATGAAATATTCTAGGCTCTAAAGGTATCTTTCTCACAATGGATTTTAGCCTCCAAACCCTAAATCCAAGTCACATCGTGATTTGATAATATTACCCTTATTAAATGTATTGACTTTCATATTACATCCAATTTATCTAAATTTTTTTACAAATGGGAAAAATAAAAATAGAAATTATTAAAATAATATTTTGTTTTACCCACCAGCCCCAGCCATACACCCCATCTCCATCTCTCAAAAATATGTTGCTTCTCTTGCCAGTCATACCACTACGTAACATCTTCCTCCCGCCCTTGTGGCTAGGTTGTTTTTTCAATGTTTTCATATTTACTTCTTAATGTTTTAATGATTAATATCCTAAAACTAATTTTTTATAATTTTTTGTAATTGAACTTTGGTTTTTTTTTTTTTTAAGGAACTGATATCAATCAAAATTTAATAAAATATCAGTTTGAAATTTGGTGGCTTATGTGGCAATTTGACATGACCATCTCCAAGGTAGTATGCAAATGAAATTGGGGAAATTGTACTATAACAACCTAGGTGGTATGTTGCCTAATGAAAAGGGTTGGTCACTCCAAGAGCCTAAGCAATGCAAGTGTACAAATCATTATTATATTATTATATTATTTATTTTTATCTTTTACATTTATTATTTTATTTTATAGAAAGTAGGTGAGAGAGTGGAGATGATATTTTATTATAAAAAATAAATAGGACCTAATATACCTCTTCACTTTGAAGTAGACAATATTGCCTTGTTGGGGAGAGTATGTATATTTTATCTGTCCATTTACCTTTTCTCTTAGAGCATGAAAATACTGATATGATAAGGCAACTGAAATTTATCTACTCTTTTGCCTATGCTTCATTACAACCCATATGTCTTTTGTATTTAATAAAATAAGCAGTAAATAAAGTAATAGTAACTGAAGAAAGAGCAAATAATAATAAATTATTGAAAGTGACTTTTTAACAATTAAAAATAAAAAGCAGTGACAGTAACAAAGCCCAAAGATTATTTGGCGGGTCATTTGGTTTAGAAAGTCGTAGTGCAAAAAATAACAACTCAACTTTATGACATCAATTTTGTATGGGCTTTAGACTGTTCGGTTGGAGTATTTTTATAGTTTGTTTTCAGCTGATTTTGCCTCGACGTTGAATTTGACATCTCTCTTAAAAATGTTGTTATAGATGTGTTTAGACTAGTGATATCTTTACTTTATTTATCAATTCTCTCCCCAATTAAAATCAAAAGAAAGATCTTAAGATAGTGATCTTTTTCATGTAGTTCAATAATATCTCAAAATGAACATGGAAACTTGTACCTCCATGATCTTTTTTGCTAAAGGCCTTCTACTCTGTACACGATGATATTCATAGATTAAAGTAATTTTGACTTAGTTGTTTTACAAAGTCAATTAGCGAGATCCCTTTGGTCAAAAGTTCTAGTAACACATACTTTATGAGGAAAAGAATTGCTCAACTCAAAAGGTCAATACACACCTACAAAGATACTTACTTTACAAATAATCAATTCATCTTTTCTACCCAATGGGACCCACAATGCAGTTGTCGGCCTACGACCAGTCCCATTTTACATTTCTCTCCCCATATTGCACGTGTGAACTGTCACATGGCGTTTCCGTAAATAAGTCAAGAGTGGAGGGCAGCTTTGACAACATAGAGACTCCCATTCAAGACCTCTACCTCTATCCACCGGATCCATTTAAAGCCCAAAACGCGGGCGTTCCGTCCACCAAGGTTTACTAATCGACGCCATAACACCGTATTACCTTAACCCGGGTTAAAATATTAACCGCGGTTAAGTTGTCTTCCCCAATCAAACCCCACCTTTTATAAACCTCAGCCAAAACGAAGCCACAGAGAGAGGCACACAGAAGAAGAAGCAAACCGGAGAGAGAGAAAGTAGAGAGAGAGAGAGAGAGAGCAAAACAAGAATCTCACAACCAGAAATGGCGGCGGTTTACGTGGACGAAGAGGAGGTGTGGAAATGTCCAAAACACCCCTCCAAGCGCCGCAAGAGCGGAATCTGCCCCGTCTGCCTCCGCGAGCGCCTCGTCATCCTCTGCCCCGAATGCGCTAACGTGCGCCCCTGCGGATGCTGCGCTACTGCGACGACGTCGTCTTCTTCCTCGTCGTCGTCGTCCTCCCGGTTTACCGGCACGGTCCCGATCGGTGGCGATCCCCTTCCTGCGTTCGAGGTCAAGGTTCGTCGGCGGCGGCGGAGTCGGCCATGTGGATTTCGACCGGAGCGAGCCGCATAGCGGCGGCGGTCGGACGAAAACGCCGTCGTTTTGGTCGTCGATGTTTCGGTCATCTCAGAGGAGCAAGAGAAGCGAGGCAAATGGAGAACACGAAACGACACCGGAGAAGAAAGTAGTGGGAGAAATAGAGGAAGTAGAAGACGCAGATGCTGCGATGAGGAGGAATATGATGAGGAAATCGAGGTCGGTGGCCGTACCGATGATGTCGTCGAATTCCGGCGCTGCCGCAGGCGAGAGACCGCCGGCGAAGGGTAGGGGCTGGTATTTTCCGAGTCCGATCAAGGCCTTCCGGCATTCCAAAATTTCGAAGATTGTTTCCGAGCGGTCGCCTGTGTACAGAGGTTAATTATATTTCTCTTGTAAAACAAAAAATAATTAAATTAACACTAAAAAGAAATCTAATAATTTTAATTTTTGGAATTTGAAAGACCCGATGAGGAATTTTGATCTTGCAATGGTAATAATTCGAATGTAACTTGGGATTATGTATTGCAAAGTTTGGCAAATTCAGTGATTTGTGATCAATCTGTGCATCCATTAAATTTGTATGCTAAATTTCTGGGTTTATTTATTTATTTATGTACTTACAGAAATATCGAGCTCGGATGCAAAAGGGCTCCCTAGCCTACATTTACTTATGATCTTTAGTTTTTACCATAAATTATCTCATGCAATTTTTTTCGGCGTTACGTTTAGTTGCGGGTAAATTTAACTAACTGAACGTGGGAAGCAGTTTTGGCGCATGAGAAGGCTGCTGGGTGGGTTGGATTTTGTTGACAACTTCCAGCCTCGTTGCAAGCCTTGACTGAATTAAATATCAACTTGGAACTACTTTGGTACACGTGGCAGGTTTGTGGATATTGGAAAATAAATATCAACTTGGGAATCTTTAGTTAACTAAAGGTAATTAGAACTAGAGGAACTGAACCGAACCGAACTCGCATAACCGATAACTGAACGAGAGGCTTTGGTATCGGATAAATTGGAATCGCCACTGAATCGCAGGTACCATCGGAATCGTCGATCATCGGTTATCGACTGTATCAGTGTCGTCAATGATAGTTGGTCGGTTACCGCCACTAATTAAAAGGAGTACCAAATTTTAATTACTAAAAGTAAAGGTGTCCAAAAAGAATATTTGCATCTGTAGTGTACTTTCTTTCCAAAACGATAATAGTTGTGTACTTTGTTAGTTGATATGTCTAGTTAGGGAATTTCAGCAAAAATAATAATTTGGGTAAGGGGCCGGAAGGTAAGATTTGGATGAAGGTAGGGCCGTTATATGTAGGTGTTATGTGACTTATGTCTCTTCTAATTTAGTGGTTTAGGGCACATTATGATTTTAGAGGGTGAAAATGTGAGGCTGACGATTTCCTAGATCTTGGAAGGACTACAAAAAACAAACAAAGATAGAATGTATCTTCCGGATTTATTATTATTATTATTATTATTTTGTGCATGTGATTTATAACGGTAATAAATGGTTAAACCCTAATTTGGAGGGAAGCATCACAATCTAATTGTGTCATGCATGGATTTGCCGTCGATTTTAATTGATCCTAACCTTAATTTATGACTAAAGTCAACTCTTAACTTGATTTGTTTAATTAATTGTGTCATGGGAATGGAAACTAATCCCACCAAAAATCGTATTAATTTATTAATTATGTCGTTTTTTGGATCAATTCGAAAATAATATTCTAAACTACATACTTAAGAATAGGAACTCAACCTTGATTATTTCTAAAGGAAATATATTTCACCTCCTAGAATAAAATTGTATAATTTTATCAAAATTTAAATAATATCATACCTAAAAAACTGAAATATAGGTTTTTCTTTTAAATAGCTATGTTTTCTTATTCAACTGAAAAGAAGTATTTTTATACAAATGATATATATTGAAGGAAAGGAGAATCGAAACTAGAACTTCGGTGCATAGGTAAATGCTCTTGAATATGCTCTTAACAACACTCGAGCTGCAAACCCTTTGCACTGAAATAAAGTGTTTAAAGTAACTTTGTATCAATGTCAAAAAGAAGAACACCAGAAGTATAAAGTAGTGCATGGTATTATTGGCTCATTGGGTCATCATGTCAAGAGACCTCAAATAATTCAAAGAACTTTTGTGAAGGGACGTTTGAAAGCAGTGTGAAAGTTTAGTAATAATAGAATCATCATCAACCATATTCAACATCCAACAACAGCAACTTACATATATAATTAATCTTAACTTGAAAATAATGTCCATGACATATCTGTTCTCGTGAATGCAGGATATTGAATGTGCGGCTTACTGTCTGTGAGTTATTAGAAAGTTTGGCAGGTCCACACAAATGGCCAATGTGACATTTGAATAATCTTTGGAACCATTTCTAATTATTTCTTTAGATTCCTTCAAAGGGTGAGACAATTTTGAAGCAAATGATGAGCCACAAGTTACAATTAATTACAAATAGTTTAAGTTATTCACCTATATTGTAAAGTACAAAGAACAATACATAAATTAAAATAATTTGGAGTGTATATTTTTCTCCTCGTGATATTTTATATAGAATTAGGGTTTCTCGAAGGCTATTCCCAAATTGAGTCCGGATCTATTGTCTTCATTTCCCATATCTTCTCCATATTTCTCATTTCATTTCTTGGCACATGTCCAACCACTTAACTCTCAATATAACAATGTTAACCTTAAATAAATTAAAAAATTAAAAATAATCAACTTCCCTCCTCTCTCTCCCTTTCTCCCCCTCTTTCTCTCTTCTTTCAAATTGATTGTCGAACAATGAAATGAAATTAACAAAATTTCAAAAATACCATCAAACTTAAAACACGGTTTTGACCTAGTAAATGCTAGAATTCGGCATAATAAGCCCATGTGTTATAGAAAAGCGGCAAGTTGCGCTTGTCTCGTAAAAATTACTTATCACGAGTCCAAATTGGAGCTCTGAATCCAAATCTGCAAAGGTTTATTTTATTTTTTTATGTTTTTGGACTTGCGATTGTCAAATTGCTCTTCAATCCTTTCAGCCATATAATATTCCTCAACGATTAAGACCAAATGATCTTGAGCAATAAATACTAATGACTTGAGACCAACATGTCAGATTCACTACAAGTTTCATGTATCTTGGAATGTTAATCATTGCGTCTCGATTAGTGTAACGAGATGTTTTCATCTGGAAGAACCCGAGATTTTACGGCAAGTCTCCAAGGCAAATACATAAATCCTTCTAAGTAACCTTAATCACGTGTTTGCAATATTAATTTGGATTTGAGAATCTGCAAGCACATTCGAACCATTGGATCGACAAAAACAGTACCAATTTTCTATTGAGCCCTGCGAACCTTATCACATGTATAGTAGTTGATCAAATTTAATAAACAAAGTATTTCCAATTTAGAGTTGTGAATACTATATAATGTCTCTCAACATAAATAAATATTCTCAAATTATTTGTCGTATTATGAATAGGTGCCACACATTCAGATAAGAATAGAACAGCATTTCTCCGACTAGCAAACTAACAATATAAACCAATCAAACACGCCGGACAAAACAAATGTAATAAAATATTGCAAATTAAAAAACTCCTCTCTACCATTCTAATTCTGGTTTAAGAGGCGGATTAGCGTTTTGATTTTGACTAAGTGAATTGTGGTGTTGGTGGTGAGTGGGACTTGGCCTAGCTTGACTTGGTCCTTTTGCCAATTAAATCATTAAGAAATTAAGAATCAAAGATTCTGAAATGGTTAGAACAACTGTTAAATCTTCTCCCCATGAACTTAAAGCATTGCTTATTATTTTTTTAATCCGCCGCTGCTCGGCGCTCAGCAGTAAAGTGCTTGTGATTGTGGTCCTAGCCATCACACTGCCAGTGTTTTTGGACCAAGTAAAAGTCTAAAAGAGTTGATATTTTAAACGTCAAGTCTATAAATAAAGAAAAGATTTGAACAGAATTTTTTGACAAATCCTTTGTATCTAATTAGAATAATACATCCATTCAAAAGGCTTCTGGAAATTGTGTTACTTTAGCGAGTGTGACATGTATAGAAAATCTGTAAAGTTCTGTCTCTGTGTCCTACATATACAAAATTCAATGAACTACAAAAATAAAATAGGGGGCCAGATTTCTATGGCTACAAACAAGATATTGTGGCAAAAACCCCACCAAAAGATATTGTGGGAGATTCTATGTCCTAATTGTTACATCAGATTATAGCAGTCATCACTTTGATGCAGGCCACTAATGTTTTTATTTATTTATGAATTTTGGTGAAACTTCTGAAACTTTATTAACATCTAAGATCGTACACAATTACATTCACAGTGTCACTACAAAACGATACGAGAGGAACCTTGAGTGCAAGACGGTGAATTAGCCTAACTCACGTAATTAACAATAGTGTCCCGTCTTTTAAAACAATACCATACAGCTATTTTTGACTGTTTGATGATAGTGAGATATCATACAACCTACATTGGCAAATGGTCTCAGAGAAGCATAATAAAGACAATTTGGATTCCAATAGGGTCCCCCACATATGGAAGAAGTTAGGTGCACTCTAAGAGATAAATGGCACTTTCTCTTGGTTATTATTATTTTATTTTCTTTTTGGGTTCTTTATTTAGGGCACATGATGATATATGTAAGAGGAGAGGAAAACTTGTATGGTTTTGGAAGAGAATCTTAGGTTCCGACATGAGTGAGTCAGTTAGTGGCTACCATTCAAATGCAGAAAAAGTCATAAAAAGAGTTTGACAGAATTGGATCCATTTGTGCAGTGACTATTATAGCTAGCTTCTGAAGAAACAGCCAAACCAAACCTGTGCATGGGATTAATTGTAGATAACATATACCTAGCAGACGCCATGTTAGGCAGCCACAACTTTAGCTTTTGCTGCGGTCAGCTGATGGCATTGGCCGGTACAGCCTTAGTCTCCATGTGTATGTCCTCATTCCTCGACCTCATGCATTATCTGTGGGCACATTAATATGGATATTTATGCATAGGTAAAAAATAAAATAAAAATAAAGTTACATTATTAATGTTCTTACAAGCATCAATGTACCTTCAATTTTTCCTCTCTATATATATATATTCAAAATAATGTACTTCATCAAATTACTAGAATCAAAATTCAATCAAACACCCAACTTTTATTTTATAGCATATATAACATGTTTATATTATGAGACTGTGAATATGAACCACACAGCTAAATAAAAATTATGACAATTTTCAATTTATTACTATGAAGTTATCCTTGTTTCAGCGTTCGATACATCAAGTTTTTTTCATCTCATTCGCATACATAATCTTTAATTCCATACCAATTTAACAAATTCGTTAGTCAATCCATCAATACCTCTATTAAAAGCAGACGTAGAACCACCAGC